AATGCAAAGTCTACTTCCTCACTTGGAGAATTCTCTGTTATTTACTTATCAATTGGACAGGATTTAGCAAGTACAATCATATCAAGTTCGTCTCTTGTTATTGAAATTCTAGAACCAGTGTTTAGAGCGATCTTTCAGGCTTGGGTAAACGAACAACTTTCCCTCCCCCTTGGTTTACAGTTTACATTTCGCATGTTTCGCCGCTGCCTCGGAGTCTAGCCCCTTCTACCGTCATGTCGCCTGTTGACATCTCTCCCTTTAGCGTCCTGAGCACATTATCTATCCCTCTTCTTTTCTCGGGTCTGCTAGCCATGGCCTTATTTTCCTGGGCTCGCCCACGTGGTCGGGTCTCCTTCTACAGCGCCAAAGACAATAACCTCATCTTGACCCGGAAAAATGGCAAGTCTGGTGCCAAGGAACAGGTAGCGCTGGCAGATCTCTGTCGCACAGCCACACCAGCAACCTGTGATCTCAATCCATTCCTCTTCAATGGTCACCTTCAGACCGCTTGGACAGCAGTCAAGTATGATAGCGTTCCGGTTTACTACAAGAGATGGATGTTCGAGGCGGACAACCAGATGTTCGATGGGCATTTTGCCGTGGATTTCGTCGTAGATCCCTACGAGCCGTCCAAGAATGATCAGACCTCTGACCCAGAGAGAAAGTATACTCTGCCTGAGGGACTACCGGAGAGGACCTCATTCTTTACCGAAGACGAATTCACGGCGCTTCCATCGGACGATACCAAGCCTATGCTGGTTGTTCTGCACGGCCTGAGCGGCGGATCACATGAGGTATACCTGCGCCATGTGGTTGCGCCTCTGATCCAGGATAAATCGTGGGAAGCGTGCGTTATCAATTCTCGGGGCTGTTCGCAAACCAAGATCACCACCAATATACTCTACAATGCCCGCGCCACGTGGGATGTCCGTCAGGCTGTCAAATGGCTACGGAAGACGTTCCCGAATCGGCCCCTTTTCGGAATCGGCTTCTCCTTGGGCGCAAACATCCTCACTAACGTGAGTTTTGAGCACGTGCTTTATCTGGAATCAGCGACTAATGCATCGGTTATAGTACCTGGGCGAAGAGGGAGATGCCTGCCAGCTGAAAGCAGCGGTGCTTTGTGCTAGCCCCTGGAATTTGGAGGTCAGCTCGGAGTACTTGAAGAGCAGCTGGTTGGGACTTCAGGTATACAGCAAGGTGATGGGATCGAGCATGAAGAAGCTTTTCGAACAGTATGTGATAAGACCTCAGCTCGTCTGTCAGCTATCATACTAACTAACGATGCCAGGCATGTGGAGTCGGTCGCCTCAAATCCACTGGTCAACGTCGAAGAAATCAGGAACGTCACTTATTTGCACGAATTCGACCGGTAATGGACTGTCCTGGGCAGACTTGCTTTTCAACTGCTGACTCCATTACTTTTAGAGCGCTGCAATGCCCTGCATGGGGTTACCCAACGGAAGGTGCTTACTATCGTGATGCCTCTTCCATCGACTCTATGCTTGGAATCAAGATTCCTTTCTTCGTAATCCAGGCCGAAGATGACCCGGTAAGCAGCAGCACCCTTAACTTTCGAACCGCTTTCATGTGCTGACGGCCGAGTAGATTGCTTGCGCAAAGGCTCTGCCATATGGAGAAATCGCCAGAACCCCGTATGGTGTCATGGCGACCACCTCCTGGGGAGGCCATCTCGGCTGGTTTGAGTTTGGTGGTGACAGGTGGTTTGTCAAACCGGTACGTTGTTCGCCTCGACTTTTGTTGTTCCGGCCTATTGACTATTCAAGGTTTCCAATTTCCTTAACCTCATGGCCAAGGAAGTGGATCACACCATTCCAGGCACGGTTGAGCACCCCGATCGCCTCCCGCCTTACATTGCGCGACCTGCGCAATACAGCGATAAGACGCCTAAGCCGCTTTTCGGCCCTGTGCGGCGCAAGCTGGATATCAAGATCGTACCCTCTTCACCCTAGAGACGCATCATGTGCGAGTACTTCTAGCGGATCTGGAGGGTCGCATACTTCAGAAGTTGGGGGATTGTTCATCATGAATGCATGCAATTGTTTTGGCAGGATATAGACCGTTGAAACGCCAGAGACCCATCTAGATACATAGACCTGATATAGACAGCATTACTTTTATACAAAATGAAACGAAATCAAGCAAATGAGACGCTCTTTCTCTTGCCCTTCGATTTGGACGACTTGTCGGGTACGGAGTCCGCTTTGTCGGCTTTAGGGCCGCCCTTGTGCTTCTTATTGCGAATCGATTGTTTTACCTCTTCCTGTTCCCCGCATCCTTTGTCAATAACTTCCAAACACAAACACACATTTGAAATGATTTGCAAGATACGTACCAGCTTGTTCTTTTTCTCCGCGTGCCTGGCCTCGGCCTCCTTCCTCTTCGCCTCACGGATCTCCTCCAATTGACGGGCCTTCATTAGCTTCGACTCGATCTGACCCTCCCTGTCGGCATTAACCATGGCAAGAATCGTCATCATTCCCTCCTGTAAGAAGCGACCAAAGATCAGCAAAAAAGTCCAGTCAACGGTCCCCACGATCACAGATCTCCATATGTGGTGAGAAATCACATACCGCATCGTCCACGAAAGTTTTGCCCTTCTTCTTGCCCTTGGGCTTCACCACACCCACGGGCGTGATCATGTTCAACTGAGGCAGGTCCAATTCCTTCTCGGTGTATTCCCTCTTCTTCGTCTTCTTCAGCAGGCTGGATTCCGTGCGCGCTTTCGACTTGACTTCCTTGGGCGGCGGGCGCTTGACGTTCTTCTTGCTCACTTTCGTCGCGGACGAGAGAGGCTTGCTCTTGGCGTCTCCCTTGGACGACGAAGGGCCCTTGCCCTTGGCTGAGGACTTTGTCGGGGCCATCTTGTGGTCTTGGTCTTGTTTTTGGAGGAAGAAAAAAAAAGTTAAGAACACCGGGGTGTTGATGCGGCTGAGAAAGCTGAAGAGGTGAAAATTCGAAAAAAAAGCGGGCGATGAGAACGTCTATGTCCACAAAGACAATAGAGCCACAAATTCCTCGGGATCACCTGCGTATATCTCCTTGACACAGAAACAAACGATCCGAATTTGCAGAAGTTTAACACAGTCCAAATGAATGAAGATCATAAAACAACACCCTCTGTCCCCCAAGCTTTGCGCCCCCGAAAAAAGAATAACTTTTGAAAGAGGCAGGCGGTGAGGTGGGGGAACGGCGGCAACCTCCAGACTAGACCCCCATTCGATCTCCTCCCAATCCCGTCAACGCTAAACTCTCAAGGCGTCCGTCTCGAGCAGAACAGAGAAACTTACCCACTCTTCTCTATCTCTTCGCCAAATCTCGGAGTCCAAGGCTGTGCCCATCAATTGCCTCATTTCCCCATTGTCAGGATGACCATTAACCCCACATTCCTCGCCCAGCGCACTCGCTCCTGTACGTGAACATCCCAATCCCTCACAACAATCCTTCCACACCCCCCCTCCGATCCACCGGTGGTCCGGCGCCCTTAGAAATTGGCGCGACGTCAATGGCCGGAACTCACAGGCTGACCTTGAAAAACCCGTGTATAGCTGCCAACCTGGCCGAGGCGAAGCGTCGTGTCATCCGGTCCTACAGAGAATGGCTTAGAGCGGTTAGTCTTCGACACTCTTGGAATAATTGATGCATTTCGGAATTGCTGGTTTTTTGTTGTCATCGTCGTCTCTTGTCACCTTTGGTTGGAGGGAGGGAGCTCTTTCGCCAGGGCGCGCAGAAGAGCCCGCGGGGACCGCGAGACGAGAAACTTCACCTCGAAAACATACCCGAGAGAGACCTCCCGAGCTGACTATTGACATGATGCGATGTCTTCGATTAGTCCCCCGAGATCCAGACTATGTACTCCCTGGACATGCCCGTTTCCGCCATCCGGACGAAGATTCGCCAGGAGTTCGAGAAGCACCGTTACGTCAGCCAATTGAATGTGATCGACGTGCTGTTGTACCAGAGCCACGCCGAGTTCCAGGTGAGTTTGGACTTTTGTTGTTGTCTTCTCTATGTGGTCAATGCGATAGGATATGTGGGTTGGGGATGTTCGGGGTGTTTATGCGGCATGTTGTATGTGGGATCGGAGAGCTTGAATGGCTCATCAATTCCATGCAATATACCCACCCCCCGAAACCTCCACGACTTCCAGCACGTCGCATCACATATACCAATAACCAGACCAACTAATCTTGGGCTTTATCATACAGGAAACCCTCAACTACTGGAAGCAGCTGTCGCACGTGATGAAGTACTTCCGGCCGGAGGAGGAGCCCGGTGCTCGCCTCCCCCCCAACTTTATCTCCGGCTTCTTGGAAGGCCGCAATTAATCTCATGTTTCCCATTTTCTTCAAATCATCCCGCAGCATTGAAAGTTTTTTTTATTCCTTTTAGTTATGAGAACAACCCTGGGCTTAGACCCGTGAACTGATAGATCCGGGTAGAGGGTATGAGTGTGCGCTCGCGCTCTATGTAAATATGGTGTTGTTGTTAGATTAAGCAATGGACTCGTGTATCACGAGGTGTAGGGTCGTTCTGTGTGTGGCTTGTCCGGGTTTAGCAGTGGAGGTGCTCTTCACATGACGTAAAGATCCATTAAGGTTAGGGGGTAGTAGTATGGCTCTACCATGCATGCCATGTTACCTACTAGCACATGTTTGACTCCGCATCGGTCAACTTCTACAAGTACAAGCGTGGGAGAGAAGAGGCATATCAAGAAGATTAGCTAAAAAGCAAGATACCATCTGCGCCATGCATTACCACATCTAGTCCAGCCCAGACACCGCATGACCAGAATCGACAGCAAGCTCAATCCGCATTCGTTAATCTATACTATACGCAGACACTTAACCTCAAGTACCCCCGAGCTCACTCGTAGTAAAAATAGGTACTATCTCCCTCCCAACCGAGAAAACACACCGCTCAATGCGCACACACACACACGGAGGAAAAAGCTCAATCATGTAGAAAGTGTTGGGGTCATTATGACAACCTAAATCATGCAAACTTTTCTCTAAATACAACGCCAAGATGAAAGACCAACTAATCCCAAAAGATTTACAAGGAAAACAACAAAAAGGACGGATCTACGACTCCATGCGATCAACCTTGGACGCGTTGAACTCATCGCGCGCAACGGTGAACTTGTCCGTGACGACATCGCACAGGTCCATCAGGGTATCCAGACCCTTCTCCAGGGCTTCGACGGCCGTTGTCGTATCTGGATTATCCGTTAGTTCTTTTACAGTTGCTGTATATAACCGGTTTGGCCTAATCCCTTGGGTGGGCGAGATATAAGCCGCGGGGGGGGGGGAGAATGCGTACCATAAGTCTGGATTCTCAGGTTCATCTTCGTCTCTGAAGGGTGAGGGATGGTATAACCGCAGAATTCAACTTGGGGGCTGTTTCACATGTTAGCCAGACTCCATCCATTTTACACTTCCTTGAGTCCCTAGTGGGATCCGAGGGCCCAAGGAAGATATCCAGGGACGGATCCAGGGTTGGATGGGCGGTCAGGGTTATCCTCACTTCTTCATGATCGCGTATCGTAGCGCATTACCCAGGGTGTGTCCCTCTCCATCGAACTGGAATGATGCGGCGGTTTCGGTGGCTCCGGGTAACTTCACAGGAGCTGTTAGATATTTGGGTTGTATGGTATAAGCGGCTGGAGAGAAAGGGTGGAGGTGGGACGTACGACGACAATGCGCTTATCTTCCAACTCGAGGACGTCTTCCTGCTCGTGCTGTTGCTCCGGGGCGGCGTCCATCATGGACTGGTCGTTTTCTTGGTCGACGGAGCCGGGCATTGTGAATTTCGAGGGTGGGGATGGGATTGAGACCGGTGGACGTTTGAGTGAAGCTGAGGAGTATATTACTAGAGGGATTGTTAGATATCAAGTCGTTGGCAGGAATGGGAGGTTGTTCTGGGTTGCGCTGGTTTAAAGGGCTGAGTTCATAGGCATACCTCTCTCTCTCTCTCTCTCTGGTAGAGGTGAAGCGGGGTATAGAAAGTGGGTTGTGCGCGTGGGGAGTGGGAGGTTGCACCAGACGTCAAAAACTATCGCACAGGAAGCCCTAGTAGCGAGAAGAAGTAGTCAGGACCAACGGTCGCAAGGAATCATAAATATGTTAGGGAGGATTTGCTATTGCGATGGCTATTGTCGCGGCGGAGAGAAAAATGCAAAAAATCGGTTTTATCGATGGTTGACCGCCTTGGGATGGGAGACATGCTACATCACCGCCTTCTGTGTTGGTACAGCTTATTCTCGTTCTGGGTGAGATAGCTATGCTACCGCATTGAAGTATTCTATGTTCTATGGGAACTGGCTAGGATGCTTGTAGTTAATGGCCATGAAGCTTTGTCAGACCGTTACAGTCTGTTGTATTGTTATTATCTTTGGTGGTGAGTTCCGAGACTTTACTTTCTCCTCCACGATCGATTGCCATGTCCTCTGCAGGAGACGTGAATTGAGGAGTAGGAAAATGAATCATTGACTGACGATGATGAACTCCATTATCAAACCTGCTCTGGGTAGCACGCTTTTGTGGGTGTGGCATACTTTACTACTTCTAGAATACAGCTCTTGCCTGTCAATTGCACATCGAGAAAGACTATGCCATAGCATACTATCCCAAGTTGAATAGGTTAAACAGGCTCTTCAATATAGCAGCGAGATGCAGCTCTCTGGTGCGTAGACCATCAATTGACACAGTGACTTCGAGCCTAGAAGCGACTAGTAATGACAGTCAGAATGCCCTTGCCAAGTAAACACTAGCTATAATATAGAGCAAGTATAGTTGGTCAATTATGTGAACCTGACTGTTTAACTTTGAATGATACTATTCTTGACAGCTTCTTATTGGGATCAGCCAGGACCATATCGCTTGACTCAGACCACCTTGCCCACTGTCCACATGGGAGGATCAATATTAGCAACAGGACCGTGCAGACGGGCGACGTTGGGACTAGAATCTGCGCGGCGCAAATGAGAACGAAGAGTCTCGTGTTTGTAATATCAATCGGTAGTACAAGAATGGAGAGACCAAGTGATGCGATATAGGAACTCTACTTGTTGCCATGCTCAAGTAGCAATTGGTAAGGTAAAGGGGTTCATGGTATATGTGCATGGAATTGACGCACACTTACCCAAAATCACGGCATCAATGCAAGATAACCGGTTCTGGTATTGCTTGGCGACGGTTTCAGTTCTCGAGCATGCTTAGAACCTGTACTGTACGGAGGTCTACCCGTGCTTCGGCGATGAGAAAAGTATCACTTCTCGACAGTACATAAAATTGAAACAGTACTCCGTAGTCGATTTTGCATGTTGGTGCCGAGACCGACCTGGATAATGAGCTTCTGACGTCTAAACGAACCAACAGCCGACGGGGAGTAGAATGAATTGGTTGGCCATAAGCAGTGTGTGTCTCATGCGCGAGCCGACGACTGTATACAAACTTCAATCGGCCCCTCATTCTCCAAGCAAATTGAAACAAGCATCATTCCGAAGACGAGGATGTCCCACGGCACGCCAAAGCTACTATCGATAAGTTAGCGAGTTTCCTTTCCCTGAGACGGGAGAGGATTGGAGGGGGGATTCGACTCGACCCATACTCCTTACCAGAAGTGGTTTCTCGACCTGATTTGCAAGGTGGACAAGACACGTGGGACCTGCCCCATACTAATTTGTGTGATCCGCAAATACTCCATCGAGTCCATCCAGGCTTTGGATGATGCTGAACGTTGATAGCCCTTGATACTCAGTAATATTGTACAGTAGCTCGATGTCACTCGATGATTGGCTATCATACTTGAAGTTAGTAAAATGACATTCATCGCAGTTCCAAACGATATTCACCCTCATCACTTACTACGTACTAGGTACGGATGACCAATTTGTCAATTTGTCCCGGAAGCTGTGAGAAAAGTGGTCCCATCATCTCACTCCTCTCTCCCTCTCCGTGCATCGCGGAAATGAGGGGTGGAGCAATAATCAATATGTGCTACACTATTTCCCGTGAGAATCAATTGATACGCTCCGACGGATGGTTTCAGGCAGCATCAGTTGCACCATTGCCGGAACAAAACCAACCAAAAAAAAAAAAAAAAACAATGATTCAGTAGCATCATCAGATCAGTAGTAGAGAGAAGGGGAGGTGGATTGACTCGGTTCCATGCAAATCCTCATCCTCTTGTCTCGACCCAGCATCTGCTGGGGGAAAGGGTCCATTCTATGTATCTTGCTCGTTCTCTTCCGTACTCCGTAGTTCTATTTGTTGTTATCATCCACCGTGGATGACTGCGCCCCCTCGGGTAGGTTCATGTATGTACAACAACCCCCGAAATCGGTTGCCCCTCCCTCCAAGCCCAATTGCAACGGTAACAGGGATTGATTGATCCATTGCAGTAGTTCTTATAGTTCGCTGCATGTCTAGCATTGGTGCATGATCCCACCAGTAGGCAGGAAACTTTCTCCCACCGGAGTCGACCCATTAATCCCTTCATGATTAGCATGGTAAACAACAGATCATTGCTAATCAAGAACAATCTTGGCATACTAGATCAATGGTGTTGTCTGGCTCTGGACTCATTTTGGATCCTATACCAATTTCGCTTCGCACTAGATCCTAAAGAGGAGATCATATCGCGTAGTCTCGATACACTGAACCACTCCAATGAGTCAATTGATTAATTTAAAATTTGATTGCCGCGTTCCTAAGACCTGCGCTATCTGAGCGCGACAGTACCGTAGTTTCCTATCGCAGGAAGCGAGCTAATCGCAGTGACAGGCTTGAAGCTGGTCCGTGTCTTCAGCCATTTCCAAATTGGGTCATATGCTTGGTAAGAATCTCTAGTTAGTTAAACAGTGCCCACGAGCTGTACTCCGTACATATTGCACTCGGAGCGGAATATAAAAGACTCGTGTGAGGTCGCCGGTCGACCCGAGGGGTTGACAGGCTCGTTCTAGACAAAGATTGTTGCGGTTGGGAACAAGGGCTTAATCCTCTCATCGACTAGATGATCCCCTGCATGCAACACTCGGTATCTCACCCTCCCTGTTCTGGATTCATCTTAATTCTACAATTGTTTTCAGTTATAGAGATTTCATGAGACTGCTGTCGGCCAAAACATGGGTGGGTACTCCGTATGCCTAGACAATAAGTACGTAAAGCAAAGCATACATAAAGTCTGGATCAGACTCTTTCTCTACGCAATGACACGCATCTTTCTACGTCTTATTTGTGTCATCCAGTTGTGGTCGAGTGACACTTTGACCCGCTTCGGATTAGGACAAGGACAAAAGCCGATCACGGGATGACGGTCGATGCACCGTGGGAAAAAAAAAGGGCTGGCTTATTGTTTGTGCAGTTTCGTAGGGTCAAGAGGAAGCGAACGTGGGGAAATGTGAGATATCGAGTTCGGATAAATTTCCAGGCTTGAATAGAACCTCATTATTGTCCATTCTGCTACTGCTGCTGCCACTGCCACCATCCAAATTTGAAAATCAGAGGAGAGGAGGCTGAGGGGGGGCCATGACCCATCCATCTGACAGAAAGTGGGCTCGGTTGGGGCCAGGGCCAGGGGACACTAACTCACTATTGTTTCCACCAGTTTGGCGCCAGTAGGTTTTGGTGATGGTGAGGGAGGCTGGCGTCGCAGGTGGTCTGGGTTTGCCACCCAGGGGGTGGAGAGGGTGGAGGACGGAGGTGGGAGGGAGGAAATTCCAACTGGGTCATGGTTCGTGGCCGTGATGAAGCTCGGATGCTCGTTCCGTTTGACTATTTCCAGACTTTCAGGTCTGTTTTGCGGTTTGCGTTTTGCGTTTTGCGCGGTAGTCAGGACAAAGAACTCAGATAGTACCTACTGTACTTTTGTGACTGTGTATGACACTCGTTAGACTAGTCCAGGTATGATCAATGCTCTGGAGAATAAGCAGCAGTCTCAGCTGTTCTTTATTGTACTGTAGTTCCCAGCTTATCAGCAGTTCTCTTGTTTGTTCAGGTCGGAAGCCGGATGGGAGGGGGGGATCGCACTAGGTTGGTTAGTTTACTACTACTAGTTGTGTTAGTCCGCGGGGTTAGTCAGCGTTTCGCTGATAACTAACTAATAGTCACCTACACAGTAGTTACTCAGTAGCTATGCTGTATGTGCTGTACCTGGCCATCATTCATTCATTTAATTCTACGTGTCTTCATATTCTCAGTCAGTACTTATTACAGCATAGTACTGTCTCCAACTACCTGTTGACTTATTCAACTTTCTTATATATACACCAACCTAGCATAAGTATGGTACATCCAGATGAGTACAAGGCCCCGAAGGGTGTGATTACTGCCAATTGTCACAAGTGTGTCACATCTTCGGCGACAAGCCCTGGGCGGAAACAAACCATGTCTCAGCTGGTGCCAATCAGATGAAATCCTCTCCACTTGGTCTGAGCATCCAGGAGGGATTGTTAGGAATTATCTCCGTTCCTCAATGGCTACTTGCCTTCACTGCTTACCATTCTGGATGCCTCCCAGCCGGTTTTTCCTGTGTTTTGTTTCTCCTTCCTCTGCTCCCCCCCTCACTCTTTGCTGTTGACAGTCCATACAAAGTAATGAGATAGATAGATTGATACATACGTAGTGTAGGACCCGATCATTCTCATGCTGAAGAGCTTTAGTGCCTGTGGTATGAGTATGAGTATGAGTACATGTACCCGCTATGTTGTCTCTTTCTGTTCTGTATGCAACCGATATTCAACCCACGCCTGAATACGATTCTACTTCCCCCACATCCATTTGAGTGCCTCGTCGCTCCAATTTCAGCCCAATTCCCACTCCCTCGTTTGATGATACTGATGATGATTGAGATCATTCCCTTTATACTCTAGCCTAACTTTGACTTTTTTTATATTTTTTTCTTAATTCCTTTTTCTATTTTTCCTTTGCTATTTGACCCTTCGTCAGATTCATGTAGGAATTTTTATTGAATTTAATCCATACTTCTTCTTTAAATTGGACCCAGCTGCAAGCTCTGATTGATGAGGACGGGGTGGTGAATTGTACCTCTTTGAGTGCCGTAATGTAGTTCTTTATGCCACCGTCTCATCGAGATTGACTCGGCCCTGTTTTCTTTTCTCCCCACCACTTACTCTCACAGTCTCACTCCTCTTTCCCCCCTCCCCCCCCCCCCCCCCCCCCAAAGTCAAACATACATCCTTATTAATTAGTGCCACTCCATAACTACATACAATAATTTCTCGGCCTGTTTTCTGTTGTCTTTCATTTTGAACTTGTTCTTCCTCCTCCCTCTTCTTTTCCCTCTTCTTCTTCCTCTTCCTCTTCCTTTTCGTCCCCTTCGTTTCTCATCTAACCCAATCCTTTGGTGCAAGCAGTTAGATCTGGTTGACTTGCTTTGTTCTGTCTTTTGCGGGCCAAGTTCACCGATATCATATCCATATCCATCGATTCGAGCCAACAATTCTCGCATTGGGGGCCAGACCGGATGAGATTCTCTGACCGACCTCTAACCGTTGTCACACTGCCGCCAGCCCGGCCAGCTTTAGTTAAACCGCCTCCCCCAATAACTCTTTGACCACTCCAATCCAATCCATTCTCCTACTTCTCTCTCCCACCACCTACCACTATTTACCTACCTACTCATCTTACTACCTTACTACCCTCACTCACCCTTCTTCTGTTTGAGCGCAATTTGGGTCAAGGTGCCACATTGGCCGCCGCCGGCTTCTCTTTTCCTCTACCCTACCTCCTCCTACCCTTCATCTCTACTCCATTCTCCCTCTTCGTCCTCCCCCCTCTGTGCTGGTCGTTCCTTGTTTGGGCTGGACCCGTCCGTTCTTCTCTTTCCTCTTCCTCCGGAGCTTATCTACCGACCAAAGTACCTTCGTGTCCCTCCACTACGCTACGCTACACTACGCCACGCACGCTTTCAATCACCCTACGAGTCGTCCACCCGATTAGCCGCCGACGCTCCCCGAGCTCGCTCAACCGCGCGCTCTTCTTTGGTCAACATCGTTCCTCAATTTTGATACTACACAACACATATCATCGAAAATTATTTGAATCTCCGGCTAGTCAAGCTGTGAGACCTTGGGTGGTACAGGCTTCAAACCGTATATATACAGTGGCTGTGTGAGACAGCAACCCGAGAGGGTATCTGTTCAGTTCAAGATTGGATCGGCGTGAAAGCTATCTCTGCTGTTGAGAGCTTTGCCAAGGAGTCGCACTTGCTTCGACCTGCTGCATCTTATTTCGCCCGATCATCTTCCTTCATCAGTATGTCCACCGCGGTTGCGCCGGTCCAGGCTGCTCCGCTCACTTCGCCGCGCATGACCCGTGACTTGAGTCCGAAGAATTGCCCAACTCTGGCGCCCGCGACTTCGAATAATCAGAACAGCACTACGCCTCCTCGGTTGTCTGGACCATCACGGGATGGCTCGTTAACTCAAAGCTCACCCGCAGGAAGGAAACCGACCTCCCCATCGTGAGTATTCGACGTCAAGTGCTTGTGAGTCGTCGAGGATGCTAATAACCAGCCAGGTCGCAAAACGGAATAAATTCTTCGAAAGTCATAGTTAAGAAGGAGCCACCCTCATCGCCCGCAATGCAGTCCCATACTCGACCCCGTCCCCGACGACTTGATCTCTCCACTAGTCTCCCAAACTCGGGGGGTTTGTCTGCCCGGGCCCCAGGCGGTCCGATGACTGCCCGGGATGGCCTCAACATGCAGAACGTCGGAATCGCGTGCTTGTCGCCGGGCTTCCAAACCCACAACCCAGTCATGAGGGAGCAACTCCAACGGAGTTTGTCAGTCCGTGATCAGCAGAGATCCATCATCGAGTCGCGTCTACAGAAATCGGCCAAGGACGATGGGCCAGAGGGAATCAAACCATCGGACTCGTTTGGGCTACCCAAGACCGCTGCCTCGAAGCGGAGACCACCGGGGTTGTCCATCGTACCTCCATCTGCGGCTCAATTCGCGAATGAGCGTGTGATCCAATCCGCACCACTGAACCAAACGTTTACAGGCCGCCATGAGCCACAGCCATTGACCCGCCATATCGTCAACCAGAGTCCTACTCTGGGATCCACGTCTCATATTCACCATGTTCCTGCCACCCAAACGAACAACCGCCTTCCACCACTCTCGGATGTGTTTGGATCGGACGCTCTGGGCGGTCGCGAAAGGGAAATCAATCGGGGACCTTTCTACCCCGGCGCATCCGGTGCCAGCTCATCGCAATCAAACAATTTACCGCCCATCCCGTCTCCCAGGATGTCCCGTGAATCCGCTCAAATTCCCAAGCGCCCAAGAGAGTATCGCTCTGCTGAAGAAGCTGTCCAGGAGATGTCCGGTGGCCGGGAAGAGCTTCTGCCTCGCATTGTGCACTACGGCGGCCACCAACCGCCAACTCCACCGTCTCCGCGGATTGCTAATGGTCCCCCCAAATCTGGCGCACCTCATCCGGAGATGACGCCGGCAACAAATGTGCAACCACAGCCAGCTCTGTATCATTCGGAAAGGTCTGCCCGTCGCCGCTCTCGAAACGAGTACGAGCATGAGCATGGAAGTCCTCCACTCGGCCACGGTCCCGAGCAACACTATCGTCCGAATCCAGCTCTGGCGTCTGGTGCAAGTACCAGGCGTGGTCCATTTGGTGCTGGTAGAGACTCGCCCGAAACCCAAAGAAAGAAGAAGGAAGAATTTCTTAGTCTTTGCGCCCGAGCATGGGATTTATTCCATTCTTGAAAGACCAGTGCGTCGTCTCTGCATCCTATCACCTGAAGGGTAGCTTCACCCAGTCGCCAGGGTTACCGTCCGATATGCGCCACATAACATAACATGTGCTTGTTGGCCGGGCAGTTCAGTTAGACTCCGGCGGAAGCCTTACACCCAGGTGAGGATCTGTCCTGAGTTACATGTGGGAACATGTTTCGAGAACTCTGCGTTCTCGGCATGACGAATATGCATACTACGACCATTTCTATGAACATGCATGATCAGTTGCTCCTAGACCGGAAGGAGAACTGGACTACTTCCAGCATCTTGAGTTATCTTCTTCTCTGCATCCTATACCACACCGCAGACAGCATTTTAAGTTGTCATCCTTGTCAAAGTTTCTGCTCTATCTCATTCATGATTCCGTTCTGCATACACTCATTTCATCACCTACATCCAAGCTTATGGAATTCACTGGCTATGAGGCGTTTGTTATCAGGTTGTGTTGGTCTCAGAACCATGTCTATATCGTTAGGGACTTCATCTTCTGGTGGTCCGTGTTGTGTCTATGATTGCTCTTTCTTCCACTCGATGTTCATATTTGCGATACCAACGTTCTGTTCGTTTTCTTCTCCACCAAGTCTTATTGGACATTTCACTCTTCTCTCATCCTTATTTCTACCCCGATACTCACGATAATACTTTGGTTGCTATGCTGGGCTGAAATCATCGAAGCCGGGCAAAACACGGTAATTCTGGATAATGATAGGTAATACCATTTTGGGTATACTGGTATGTGGTCTGCATAATTATGTACACAAATGAATTCCTCTATGAGCGGTAGCAAAAGACGCAATTCACATTAAGCAAGCCGGCGACGCTTGAAACCCCCTCCGTGGTCTCTGGGTGCATCGTCGTCGGCCAGAGCTCGACGCTCCATAGGCATTTCTTTCCTTTCTTTCGCGGCGGTCTTCTTTCGTCTCCTCTCAAGTGCCTTTGTGCGGTCTTTGGAGTTCATAGTCTCGTACTTCTGAAGCAGGACCTGCTTCTTAAGCTCCGACTTCTTCATGTAGTACGGGGTGCTCTTCTTTCCTTCGCGGATGAGCTGCTTCTCCTTCTTCTTGTGATCGGCCAAGATATCCCTCTCTCGCTTTCTGTTCTCCATTGCACGGAGTCGATCCTGAGTCGATCGAATCTCTCGCTTCAAGGCTTCCTTCTGGACAGGGTTCTTCGTCTTGGCGTACTGTGCCTTCAGCTCTTTGAGCTCATCTGCACGGTACTCGTCGAGGAAGGCATAGGCGTCCTTGATACCCTGAGTATTTCCCCGACCACCCTGGCTGGTCACAGTCGGGTCAAAGCGTGGATCTCGGGATTTGGGTATGCTCGGGGGCTCGACGACCGTGCGCTTGCGAGAAACGGCGTACTTGGAAGATTGCACCATGGGCGCGTGTTTGGAAGAGCGAGAAGGCTTCTCCGAATCCTTCGACTTTGGCAATGCTTGCCGTTTCTGCTCCCGAGCTTCGCGGATTCGAGCTCTAATATCGTCGAGGGGGGACGGCGCTGCAGTGGCTTCATCTGTACTCCTGGCGGCGGCCTTTGCGGCACGTTTCGCTTTCGGACCTAGGGATGCTTGCGCTTTGGCTAACGCGCCAAATGAAATGCTACCAAGAGAGGCCTGGACATCATCCTCGGGGGCATCGCCGTCGCTCTCGCTATCGTCTGAACCGTCATCCTCTGAAGCGTCGAAGACTTCGTCTGACTGTGTTATGGGTCAGCGATCCGTGGGATTTGATGCTACGGCGTTGAGGATACCAACCAGATCATCATTGTCGACATTGTCCTCATCGAGAGAACCGTCGCTGGCGTTGTCGGAGTCCGAGTGGTCCGATGGCGCAAGGTCACTAGCCTCCTCGGAACCGGAACCGTCTGAGTAAACCTCTTCGTCTTCCTCGGGAAGCGCTCGCACCCGGCGATTGAGAAGATCTGATATGGCCATTTTGGTTTGTGCGAAGAATAAAGAACTGGGTATTAGTGATAGTGATAAGAAAATCCAACTTTTGCCGTATGGCGGTGAAGATGCGATGCGGAGCAGGAAAAAAAAAAAAAGAATGGCTCCAATTCTGCCGGAATTTGGGGGGCGGTCGTCAAGGCGGCTCGTCGGTGATTGGTTTGTGGGGAAACTGATCGCGATTTTTCCCCTGGTCCGTCCGCATCGCGACGGAATGATTGATTGCTCCGCCCATCGCTGGCCACTCTGCACCTCGCTCGCTCGCTCACTCACTCTCCTTTGCCATATTTGCTCTTACTGCAGTCTCTACTGTGCCCATGCAAGTTACTAACCGGCATCTCCATGCTAGCCCCAAGGCCAGCTCCCTCTGAATACGTCAAGCTCGATCGAATGTTTCGAAGCGGGGCCGTCTGTGTATGCATGGCCTGACAAGCATTAACCGTTTTTAACTACTTTCGCTGACGATGTTGTACAGATTTCGCAACCCAGTCTCATTCTCACTTCTCGAGTCCGGCTCTCATCTCTCCCGAGATTATACCATCGTTCATATCCATCGTATCTGTCTCGTGATAGCACATCGCGCTCTGAAATGGGGACTGAAGGTGGATTCGAGCGCGGCTCTAACGGGACCGGTTGGGGTGGTCCTCACAAGCCTTCCAACAATGCCAATCCCAACAACCCGGCTCCCTGGAGACCCTACCATGGCCGCTGGAGCTCGAAGACTACACATGCAGACCAATCCGGCACGCAAACACCAGGTAACACATCGCAAGATCGACCACGAAGACACGGCCCACGAAGAAACAATAGACCAGCCGATAGACGACCAAAGCAACACCATGGGGCGATCGCGTCACCTCATGGGGCTGCGCCATTGCAGTCACTTCAGGGACAGGCTGCGACAAGCCATGCAGGTTCCATGGGCAATGTCAATACCACGAACCCGTCTTTCGTGTTTCCACCTGCACCGGGTGTGATGAATGCAAATGGCAGTACAATGCCTCCGCTGCCGTTTCTGATGCCGAATGTACCAATGCCACAGGATTTCTTCACACAGAATATGCCAGAACAACAGCCATCCTTTCAACAGAACACGTCTTTTCAGCCACAGCAACAGTTTACACCCATGTTCAATTCTTCCTCATACCCTTCATTTGGGGTTCCGGCATCGTGGAATGATTTCACAAACTTTACGAGCCAGCTACTACCCATGCCACCTCCCCCCCTGATGAACATGGGGATGCCAAACCCATTGTTAGCGATGTCAATGCTCGACCCTCTCGCCTTTCGTACACCTTTTCAGCAGGAAGCAGCTCCTAATCAGGAGCAGCAGCAAGAGCAGCAGCAGCAAGAGCAGTCGAATAAAGGTCAATATACGTCTTGCAAGCCACTGACACCTCCATCTCCCACGGCGGAATATCTTCAGCAATCATCTCTTCCCCCGAAGCGAAACGAGTCTTCGAAACCCCTCCTCGTCATCCTTGACTTAAATGGCACTCTTGTCCACCGCAAACATCGTGGGTTTCCGCCCTCTTTCGTTGAACGCGCCGGCCTGAACCGTTTCCGCCAGGGTCTCCTGGAAAAGTACAAGGTCATGGTCTGGTCGAGCTCGCAACCCTTCACGGTCTCAAACCTCTGCCACAGAATCTTTCCGGGCAAGAGCCGAAAACAGCTTGTCGCCGAATGGGGCCGCGACAAATTCCCGCTCACGGGCTTGCAGTACAAATCCAAAACCCAGGTTTACAAGACTTTGGATACCGTCTGGCGCGATCCGTCCATCCAGGCGTCGTATCCCAGGTTCCGCGGGAAGGAATCCCAACCGGCGGAGATACCGCGGTGGGATCGGACCAACACCATCCTCATCGACGACAGCAAGCTCAAAGCCATCTCGGAGCCGTACAACATCCTGGAGATTCCCGAATTCACAGGCGACCGGGGTCCGGGCGACAACCAAACCCTCACCAGAGTGCTGCTGCTGCTGGAGGAATTGTCCAGGTATGACGATGTCAGCCAGGCGTTGCATCTTTGGAGCACGACGCTGGCGGAGACCGGCCAGACGTGCATCCTCGACATCTTGCGCACCCTCCCGCGAAGCCAGCCGCAGGTACCCAAGGAACCTGGGTCGCCCCGCGACGAGGTTGCAAAAGCCCGCGCCGAGCGTCGCAGAGCCCGCAAGCAGGAGAAGAAAGCCGCCCGAGCTTCTGCGGCGGCGAGCGCGACTTTCTTCACAGCCCAAGCCCCAGCCCAAGCCCCAGCCCCAGCCTTAGCCCCAGCCTTAGCCCCAACAGCCCGCTCCCCGTCCCCCGCCACATCCCTCGATTCCGAGCACCATTCCCTCTCCCCGGATACATCCGTCAGGTCCGATACTCAAAACGATCTTCTCGATAAACTAGAGGCATCGCTCAACCGTCAAGATTAATCCCGAAAGGAGGTGGGGTGTTGGTTGTATGGCTCATCTGTCCATCAAAACTAGACGGTACTGTACATAAAGGCCGTTTCCGCTCTGTCCTGTCATCTCTGTATATGTACTTGCGAAGAGATATAGCGCGGTGTCCTGGAGTGTGTGTTTGGATGTCATTCGTCTGAAAACATTTGTGTCGCCTGTTTGATTTTAGACTATGCTAGATGATTACATAGAGAAAGAAGTGCATGGGAACTAAATCGATTGATCATATCTCATCTGCCTGGTTTGCAGATGCATGTTCAGTGGTTTTTCTTGAAGATCATCTAGTCTACCTTATACCCATCTAAATATTCGACTACTTCCTCTGGTTGAGTACGTATCTAGGCGTACAGGTGTTTAGTGTAGTGACTTTTTCTATCGATGGGCTTTATACAGTTTTTTTACGGTACACCCCTCTGACCGCGGAGGAAGAACAAAAACAAAAGTCAGTTAGATGCGGCTGGGTGAGATAGGCGCTTCGTTGCACGTAGCTGGGTATGCACATAGTCGATCAAGTTTGCCCTCGGCGTGAGTGATGCGCCAACTGGTGAACCACTAGTAAATAAGAAAATCTAGGTCCCACCAAGTACAGAGACCTAGTGTGCATCGTTTAATACGACAGCATCTTGACAGATGGACAAGAATCAGGATGAGAGTATGCGAAAGAACAACAAAGCTTTGATGTTCATTGTTTTGAGCCTTGGCAGACTACTGTACTGCTATCATCCATGTAGAAATCATGAGCATGACATGACGCATGAAAAAGTGGGTAAAAAAGCTTTTATGAGGTGAGTGAAGATTGAATCACAAAAACCAAGACCATCGGGGAGGGGGGATGTTGGAGAAACAGTTAAGAGATTTAGGACGCGGAAAGAAAGTGAGGCACAGGGGGACGGCAGAATTGGTGTCCGTGCCTCACACTTTCTACCGGATGCCTTGGGCGGATGCGAAGGGGGATGGGACATGGGAAGATTATGTTTTGTGCTCATCTACAAGGCTCACTCATCGCCAGGAGAATAAAGGAAAAGGGGATATCATCATCATCAATGAGTCGGCACTAAGGCACAGCTACGACAACCTGAAGTGGGTGCACTAGCTTATTTGAAGACGTGGCCGTCAACGCAGGGGTACTCCTTGCCGTCAATGACGACGGGGACATCCCAGGCCCACATGTCCTCAACGAGCTTGCGGTCAGCCTCGTTGGTGTGGTCGAGCTTGACGAACTCGTAGCTCTCCCAGTCGGGGGCGACCTCGAAAGCGGGCTTGAAGTCCTGGCCACGGACAAGGAAGACACCGCGGATGACGCAGTCGTAGTTGGCACCATAGACCTGCTGGGAACCGAAGAGGTACTTGCGGGAAGCCTCAAGACGGTTGTGGAAACCACCGATCAGGTTGTTGGCCATGAAGGTAAGCTTGAGCTCGTTGTCGTACTTGTAGTTGACGGACCACAGAGAGAACTCCTCGGGCTTGTAGTTGGCCCAGAACCAGGGCAGAGCAACGGGACGGGTGTCCTCGTTGGAGTAGGTGCGCTTCAGCTCGTCAAGGACGAACTCGGGACGACCAAGAGCCTCGAGAGGGTGCTTGGCCTTCTTCTCCTCAGCGGGCTTCTCCTCAGCGGGAGCGGCGGCAGCGGCAGCGGGGGCAGAAGCAGCCTTGGGCTTCTCCTCCTTCTTGGGGGGAGTGTACTTGATGGCCTCCTCAACGAAGACGGGGTTCTCGACAACAGCCTTGAAGGCGGGCTGGCTGATGATGGTGTTGTACCACCGGAGGAAGGGGACGTGCTCGTCACGGAACTTCTTGTCCAAGACGGTGGAGAAGAGACGGGTGCAGAGAGCGGCGACGAAGAAATCAGCCAGGGAGATACGCTCACCAACCAGATAGGTGTTGGCAGTGAGGTAGGAGTTAAGAACGCCAGCGTTCTTCAGGGCGAGCTTGGAAGCATCCTCAACGTTCTTCTTGTTGTAAGGGTCGAGGCCGAGAAGGGGGCGGAACCAGCCAGCGAAGCGGGGCATAAGCTCAGCGTTGGCGAAGGACAACCAACGGAGGATGGAAGCATAGTCCTGCTTGGTCTTACCCAAGAGGGTGGTCTTCTCGTTCTGGGAAGTCACTTGAGGCAAGTTAGTTTGCAAAACTTCAAGGACAGTCAAGTGACAAATAGATATTCAACCCGAAGAGGGGTAACAATTGATCAGAGTTCAACGTTATCAACACAGTTTGTTTTTTTTACCATTCTGACAGGGATAACTAATAGATGAATCTCATCATGTCGAGGATGGGGGTGAAAAGCATGCAGATAGGGAAAGAAAAACCATCAAAACGTACCATAGACGGCGATGGCAATGACCTCGGACAGAGTGTAGCCGTTGGCACCCTCGAAGGCAGGGATCTTGCCGAGGGGCTGGATGCGGCGGTACTCCTCAGACTGGTTGAAAGCAGCAGCAGAGTTAGGCTCAGTCTTGACAAGCTCCAGCTCGACGTCGTTAGCCTTAGCGGCAACGAGGACGGCGATGGTGCGAGCGTTCTCCTATTCATCATCATGTTAGCTGCAGGGTTTCGTTGATCGGAAGAGCTGCGCATGAAACATACAAGAGAACCGTAGAGCTTTCCGAAGGCCATTGCGAGGGATGTGTGGGATGAGGAAGAGAAAAGGAGAGAGAGGGAGGGGAGGGGAAGAGGAGGGAAAAAAGGAATGAGGGGAAGAAGAAAATGGATGGTGAAATTTGTGCGAATCAAAGAGCATCGGGACCGGAGGAATGATTCCTGCGTCCACGTGACCTCGAATCTGGAAAAACCTCAGGAAATGCCCGCAACACCCCAACACTGCCAAAAGCGATTGTTTCCGCCCCGAGCAGGAAACAATCACTCACTCACTCACCCACCGCGCACTCTCCTCCGGCGAACCCGCTCCGCGTGTCGCTCCTCCCCCCCCCCCCCCGAAAAATCCATCCCCGGCAGGCGTCGAATACCTCTTCCTCCAGGCTTCCGTCAGCCGTCTCGCCGCACAATGGCCTGGCAGAATCCCAATGGTCTTGTGCAGGCTATGCACTCCATCCGTCAAGCAGCTCCTCTTCGGCCTGTTCTCCAGCGCTCCGTGATCTCCAGATCGCCCATATGGTCGAGCTCGACGACGACCAGCCTCCCCAAGAACCTCAATGGCAAGCGAACATACGCGACTGAAGAGACTCCCACTTCATTCACGGCCGCTCCTCCTCTTGACTTCAAGGATCCCAGAATCAGACCTGCTCGGCTTGTGCCCGCATCTCCGTCCTACTTCTCCGGCAACCCCAAGTTCATCGACCATTTATTGAATCTGGAAGGCATTCTCGCCGCAAATGCCAATCTGCCAACCGTGGAGAACAGCCAGGCGCCTCGGATGGCGTGGCTTAAACTACCGCAGTTTCGTGATTTTGTCGGGGAGCAAGTGCCGACCAAGAAGTACAAGGGCCTTCTCAAAATCCTGCAGCGTCTCAACCGAATTGATCCCGAGCTCATGCCGGAAAATGTTGGGCGGACGATAAAGCAGTTTGTTCGTCCGGGTAATCCGTACGCTAACAAACCTGCGCCGGCTACGGTGGATGAGATGGGTCGTGCTCGCGGCCGGGGCAAGCGCAAGTCTTCCTCGGCAGTGGCTTTCCTGGTTGAGGGTGATGGCGAGGTGAGGGTGAATGGAAAGACATTGGTCGAGGCCTTCCCTCGAGTACATGATCGCGAGAGTGCCACCTGGGCCCTCCGAAGTACGTCGCGGCTGGACAAGTATAATGTGTGGGCTCAAGTCCAGGGCGGAGGAACTACCGGGCAGGCAGAAGCCATCACACTGGCGGTTGCACGAGCGCTGCTGGTTCACGAGCCCGCTCTGAAGCCTGCGCTCCGCAAGGGTACGTATCCCTGCCGCCCATCACAACCATTCTTTACTGACCAATTGATCTTGCAGCCGGTGTCATCACGGTCGACGCCCGTCGCGTGGAGAGAAAGAAGCCCGGTCACGTCAAGGCGCGCAAGATGCCTACCTGGGTCAAGAGATGAAAGTGTGGTCGAGATCGGCATCCTCTCGCGTGGGGGGAGGGGGCCTGGATCTTTTCTTTGTACTTCTACTTCCTTGCTGTATTATTCGATTTGGCCTTGTGATTTTTTCTCCACGAAAGTATATCCAGTATTGCAAGCATACTCACCAGGTGTCACGGAAGTCGTTTCAGGACACGACACGGCATGTCTTCGGCGACCGGCATGTAACTATTGGCATAAAAGCAATAAACCGAATTTTGGTGCAGACCCCGGTGTTACCGCAGCAGAAAGACGAGCTTGGGATTGGATCAGGCAGACATGCGCCATTGACTAAGATCACTGCCGGCGATCAAGGGTTTGTCCCACTCTGCGCCATATTGAATCCAATCCCCTAACAGGAAGATTGCATTCTGCCGTAGGCTAAGATCGCCAGACACAGAGTTCGGAGAAGTCAACTCCTTCACTGAAGAAGCAACAGATTCTCAACCAAGCACCTTGTGGTCCCGGAAGTGAGACGGTAATTTGTTCTGAAACAACCAGCAAGGTGCAGAACAGTCATGTCTCTCATCGTGTTTCGCAAGTGTATTGCGTTTCGACCATTGCATTCGGCCTGATGATGCCAGCTAGGGTTCTGTGGCACCATGAGCTCGAACGGACGGGGCAGTCTCCGTTGCCGAACAGAAATTTCAGAAATTGGTCAGTCGGCGATCAGTCGGTGACTTTTTGGAAAGAACAGGTTCGTGGACTAGAGGCAGCGGATGGTTCCTCTCCGAGAGCTCAAACAGTCTACCGACTTGCGTTCGCTATACAGCGCGATACCCATCTACTTGACTCATGCGATGCGCCCACGAGACTCGCAGTAACCACAGACAAGAGGACACGATTTGGAGACAACACAGACCATCCGATGGGAACCGTCATCCGTCATCAGTCATCAGCTCCATTGGGAATTCTCTGCCCACCTGCTGCGGGTGAAGGCCTCGGCAGCCAAATCAGAACCTTCTTGCCTGCTCTGACACCCACGTCGCCATGGCCATCGTCATCTCATGGCTCGGAATGACGACCATTGGACGCTGGGTGAGAGACAAAGTGGTCATCCTAGTGTGGCTGAAGAGACTGCCAAGGCCCTCATTAGACCAATTGGAGATGGTGGGAAGAGAGAAAATTGACAGGTAGGAAGGGGTAGAGAGTGTGGACACGGTGGAGATAGGAAGGGAGAATCATGATTGACTGATGCAGGAGAAGAGAAATGATGGAGTAGAGGTCTAATTGTAACTGGAATAGTGTTTGTAGTATGCCCAGTGCCACCAGGTGAAGATAGCAGGCTGTTTCATACTGACTGGAAAGGGACGGTAGGAAAAAAGGCCGGGGAGAGCTGGTACTTCAAAGGTACTTCATAGGTATCTTCTCTTTGTACCTTCTTCACAAGTCCTCAGGAAGTACTAACTTATATTGTACTTGGTACATTTTGAAGGTACTCCTTTGAAAGCAGTATGCAGCATGCTGAATGACAGGACGTTCAGATCCACAATCGGCACAAGCACCGGCTGTCTGGACCGGCACGAGGCCTGCATGCTCTTTCTAGTCTATCACTTTTGATAATCGCCCGTGACGAGGAAGAAGGAGGGGTGAGGCTTTCTCCGCCTCACTTCTCCTTTCTCTTCTCACCCTCACCCTCTCTCTCTCTCTCTCTCTCTCTCCGGAGATCGTCCAATACCTCACTCACTTCGACAATTTGGAATTTCGTCATCACGGACTGTGACTTCCGGCCCCGAATTTGGCACTATCTGTCTAGCCCTAATAAAAGCCGTCTCTCTTTAGGTGATCGTCACGTCATACTACTACGTACATAGTACCTTAACCATTGAACTCATCAAATTCATCGGGGACCACCCCTGACGAGACTCCGTCCTTCGGATGATAAGTCCCCGAAGTGCAAACGGTGCAAATCCGAAGGGATTGATTGAGGGAATGAAGACAAGGAAGAAAGAAAGCAGGCAAGCAAGCACGAACGAGCAAGAAGAAAGCAAGAGAGGACCGAGCGGGCTCCACCTGCGAGCAACTCCGAGAAGGCTGCTTTAGCTTGTCTCGATGGGCGCGATGCCGATCCCCCTGGCTACCATAAGCATCGCCTCCATTGGCTGCTTCTTTAGTGCACGACCTTCCCAGCACGCTGGAAGGTGTGCGACTCGGCGGCTTAGCCAAGCACCACAGTAACTACCGTACTCCGTACACTAACTACTACCTTAGTTAGTGACTACCTTACCTAGTAGGTACAGTTTGCCAGGTGGTACGGTACCTACCATACCTACCTGTACCCGGTAGTTAGGACAGGTACAGTACAACAAGTACAGTGCATTGATGACCCTTCTTAGATAGGGACTTTTAAACTCGGCGCTGTGTTGGTAATTGTCAGTCTTAGACCTCATGTCGAACTTGGGAATTGCGGCTAATCTAGGTCATCTTGGATAGTTGCAGACATTACAAACCAAAGTCTGACACCTCGAAATCCCCCAATCATCCAAGATCTTGGGTTGGACCAGATCGCCTGTGAGCGCATGGTCCCTCCCTCTCTTGTCCATATGGAATCGGCCTCCGTCCATCAGCTCAATCCTTCGACTCTCTGTGGTCAATCCGGGCAGCAGCCGATCCACCTCCCAGGTCCCCGGTATCCTTGCGTCCCAGAAAGCGGTTCTTCCCGTGGTTCTAGTATACTATACCTTTCCTTCTTCTTCCTTGTAAGCCTGACTGACGGTCCATCGCAAGTGTATTTCATGAGACTGGACCCCGGCTCTATTGCCTCACTCATTCTTTATACGATTTAGCCCGGCATGTCTCGCCTTGTTCCTTCGGTATCTACTCCTTCCGTTCGATCGGGATTTTCCACAACCTTGGTTGGCTCTTTGCCACTCCAACCACCGCCTCACGGACGGACATACATTGGAGCCTGGTGGATGGTTCCTGGAATGGTGTGGTGCATGGACCCAGGACGATCACCGAAATAGCGTTTCGGGAGGGCTTAACTCTAAGGCCCTCGGGGAAGTCGGCTCAGGGCAGCGGGAAAAAAAATAAAAAAGTCAGAAGTTCAGAACGGATCCTTCCAATTGCAATTATTTGGAATGATTGATGGATGGGGCTCAGCTAAAAACAATTCTAGCGATTAGACTAGTCCCAGCGACAGTCTTCATTGGGCCTGCTACCAACTCTGGGTGTCTGGATCCGGGTGATTAACCTTATCGGATTCTTGGAGAAAGTGCCATGATGGCTGCTGCTGCTGCTGCTGCTGCTACTACTGCACCTGCACCTGCAAGGTCGAGGAAATGTCTAGGCATTGTTAGTACCGCACAGAGTACTTTTTGTTTTTCTTTCATTCCTTTTGGGATCGATTTATTATTATTTTCCACTCAGAAGTCCCAAATAGCCCCGCCTCGTGTCTGAATTATCCCCGTCACGATCCCTTTGGGCTGGCAGGGAGCCCACGAATCACACGGCGCCTGGCCCTTTTTTAATCGGTTCCATTATTGTTCTCCCATGTCATAAAATCTGATGGATCGGAATCAGCTACCCCTCTTGGGCGTCATCATATCCACTCTGCTTGCCTCCGTCAGCCGCCCTCATGGTCCTGAAAGCCCGTAATGCACGCCTTGGACTACCCAGAGTCCCGACGGATTGGTCGACAGAAGAAATGACTGATGATCAGCTGGCTGGTAGTCAGCCCCCGTCCCCCCCCCCCGGTAGTGCGTCTACCGAGACCATTGTATGCGCCTGTATCTAGTGTGTACCGTCGACATGGGTTTGGGCTTCTTGGTGGAGCGAGGAAGTGGCTGAGGGTTTCAAGGGGGCTCGATCGATGTTCATCGTGGGGAGTAGATTGGGCTCTCAACAATAATCTATACGTGACTCTGGGTAGCACTCGTCAATCTAGTTCTGAGGCGAGGTTCGAGAAGGAAATCGAACGACTTGCTCGATCATTCTTTCGCACAAATCTAAATCTCATCTCTTCATGCAGTTGGTCATCATAATAGGCCAGAAAATACCTAGAAAGGCCCCCGGGGAAGCAATTTTAAGTCTAGGGAAATGTGAAAAAAAAACTGGTAAAATTCGAACTTGAACAATCCCGGAAGGGTGAATTGGTCTCCATCATCAGTCCTAGCTAGTAGTTTGATTGACCTGACTGACTGACTGATTGATTGATTGATTGCCTACTTGACTGATTGATGGATGGGATAGATGCTACTAGACAATAGGCTCTCTGCTCATCATTTCTTTTTCTCTCTTTCTCCATCTGCCAATTCTTGTCCCCCCCCTTCCGTACAGTGAGTTTTCCAGCTTTCCCTTCCTTTCCTTTTAGTGTCATTTGTTTTCTTCCTCGTTTCTCGCGCTTCGTGGATCGGTGACGATATTCTTCCTCCCTTCCCCTTCTCGAGGATCATTCTTTTTCTTGCTTGTTTTTTTTTTTCCTACTCTTATTTTTTATTTTAATTTTTATTTTTTAATTCAGCTTTTTTCTTCTTTTTCACTCTCCGATTCCTGCTTTTTCAATCTTCTTGGATACTTCTCTCCGATCATCCTCTCCGCTCCCCACCGCAGGCGCAAGAGAAGCCCGAGCAGAAACCTGATACAGGCGCTCGCTTCGCCCGTTCCATTGTTCACAACATGCTGCTAACCTGAACCCGAACGACCTGAATCACTCGGCCCCCAGAGGACTTTTTGATGAGTCTCAGTGGATCAAGATTGTCCTTGCTATGGGGCTGATTCACAGGTTCCTCCAGCTACTGGGAACTGTACTATAAGTAATCCGTGCATCCCAGTCCTTTGCTTCCTCCGCTGCTGGTCCTCCCCCACTCTACAGCCCCTCCATTTCAGTAGCTGGGATCCGAAGCAAGCAAGCAAGCAAGCAAGCAAGCCACTGAGATTGACTCCCAATATCTACCTATCTTCCTTTGGGCTGCAAACAAAGGGGCCGTCACCACTCCATCTAACTTCATTGGTTCTACTTCCACCCACCTCCTTCTCGAGTTATAATTCCCCTGCATCTTTCCACGCGGACCCTTCCTGCACTGCCATTCCTGCACGGTGCTTACTGCGGTTAAGGGTTTCGTTCTTCTTCTCGGATGATCTTGCACTCTCGACCATACATATAAATCTAGCCATAATATCACTGTCTGGCGGTGTGACTAAAGCATACATACTCTGCTTCCAACCAACCAGTTGGCGGAAGCGTCGTCTTCCCTCACAGGTGCGCAGGTGGTTTTTGAATAGTTTGAT